GGTCAAAAGGGATGTGTGTACCCACACTTTGTGTGTCCAGGACCCTAGCTGCCTCAATGGGTAGGTATTTACCTAAGAGAAACTAAAACATATGTCAATACAAAGATTGTACACATGAACGTTCCTAACACCTTTCTTTTTAATAGTCCAAAACTGGGGTGCCTGGCTGGCACAGTTGGTTGAGCGTCCAGCTCTTGATTTGGGCTCAGGTGATGCTCTCAGGCTTGTGAGATGGAGCCCCGCAACAGGTTCCATGCTCAGCGGGGAGTCTGCTTGAGATTCTCTCTCCCCCTCTCCCTCTGCCCCTCCCCCCATCAAACGCTGGTGCACGCGCTCTCTCTCTCTCTCAAACAAACAAACAAACAAATATCCCAAACTGGAAGGCATCTAAATGACCCCCAACAGGTGAATGGATAAATAAATTGGGGCTCATCCCTGAAACAGAATACTACTCAGCAGTAAATAATGACTGTTAATAGACACACAACATGGGTAAACCTCAAATGATGATGTGGAATGGAAAACTCAGACCAAAAAAGGGGTATATACTGTATCATTCTATTTGTATCAATGTTCTAAAAGATGCAAGTAGTCTTATAGTGACAGAAAGCCTATCAATGTTGAAGGAGCTGTGAGAAAGAAATTGATTAGAAAGGGGCACAAAGAACCTTTTGGCAGGGAAGGGATATGTTCATTATCTTGACTGTGGTGATGCTTTCACTGATGTGTCTATTTCAAAACTCATCAAATTGGACACTTTGAAAACTCGCTATCTATTGCTTGTCATTTATGTCTAAATAGAGCCATTGATGAAAAAAAAAAAAAAAAGCTACTATACCCAGGTAGCACTTCTGAGCTGTCAAGTTCATAAAAACCCAACATTTGACAACACATTTTAAGAGAAAGGTCTAGGGAGGGCGCCTGGGTGGCTCAGTTGGTTGAGCGACTGCCTTCGGCTCAGGTCATGATCCTGGAGTCCCTGGATCGAGTCCCGCATCGGGCTCCC